TAAATTAAACTATAATCATCATCCATTCAACGATAATCTTTATTTAAATGCCATTTTAACATTTATTACTAAATAATTTGATAACAGAACAATGATTATTTTGGTGGGAATCTTATGAAACTACAACAAATATATTAGCAAAAATAGCTGGCTAAAATGAATTTTGAATGATTGTTATTTAAATGTCATTTTAACAATTATCACTGAATAAATAATTTGACTGATAATTTAATAACAGAACAGTGATAATTTTCATGGGAATCTTAGAATAGTATGATAAATTTCAAATATGATTATTCAGTTGTTGAAATAATTTCAAATATGATTATTCAGTTGTTGAAATAATTTCAAATATGATTATTCAATATTTTTTTTAGAAAAAAAAGTTGACATTTCTAATATTTTGAAAAATTTATTACTATTATGCCAAATTATGCATACCGAAAAACAAAGATCCTGAAAAAGAAAAATTCTGGGATATCTCAGAATGGATTGATTCTGAAATAGCTTTTGATGGGATTAAAAATAATTTGTAAGATAGTATCTTTAATAGTGTAAGTTTTTTTTTAAAAAAAATTACGTGTCTTAGCGTAAAAAATTTGACTTACGTGAGAGTAATTTCTATTCTGACAAATACTGTTAATTTTAAAAGTGCTAAAAAACATTTTAATGAAATTTCATCATTTAACAAATATTCATATCAATTTGAATAATTAATTTTGAAATACTTTTGAATTGCGATTACATTCGGTTGGATAATTCTTGTTATTTGCGCTCGTTTTCTTTTTTTTTCCCTCTTTCTCTCTCTCTCTCTTTTTTTAATTAATAATAGAAATTAATTACTCCATCACAAATAAAAAAAAAACAATAAAAAAAATGAAATTTAAATTCAATCAGTTCTTTCAACAACTTAATCTGTTGAGCAAAATAAAAATATTATTTAATTTCTAGTCTTTTAAACTTTGAAAGAAATACATTAAATTAAATTATGATAATTAATTGCAAAAAGTTAAAATTAAAATTATTTAATTAGGAGAAACGAACAAACATTAAATGATAAAAGAAAATTGTCTTTGTTAAGTTTGTTTAACTCATTTTTTTTTTTCGAAATAAGAAAGAAAAATAATATATAAGTTTTAATTTTAATCATTTTTTAATTTCAGTTTTAATTATAAATGAAAGCAAAGATATAAAAATGTAAAAAGGAAATGGGAGTAGTTTTGCATAGAATATGATAAATATATTCATTAATGAAATATGAATTGAATTAATTGTTTTGCATCAAAAAAAAAAATTTTTTTTCTTTCCAATATAACATTTATCAAATATTCATAGGAAAAAAAAAGAAATTCTTTTTTTTTTTGAAAAATAATTAAAAAAATAAGGGAAATAGATGTAAAAAAAATATTTTTTTATAAGAATATTATTATTTTATAGCTAAATGATCTAACAAATTCATTACTGGAAATTTTAAATTTTTTTTATTGGAAATTAAAAAAAAAACCCTTTCTTTTTATACAAACAACAAGTGCAGCTGTCATTTAAGCTGTGTAAAACTTTGAATTTGAAATGAATTTTTAAAGTTTTAGAAATTTTCGCAATTCTTTTTCAAAAATTTTGCCAAAAACGATAGTTTGAAATTAAATTTCAATTTGATTGATCGATAAAATTTGATGTTATATAACCAATTTCAAATTTTGTTTTCTTAAATTATTCTACAAAAAAAAAAAATTTCAAATTCAAAAATGTAGGAAAAATTAGAAGGAAAGAGGAAAGTAGGAGAAAAAAAAAACTCTTGCTGATAATGACAAGTGAAATGAGAATAATAATTTAGAAAAATGTTGATAAGTGATAAAAGATAGGTAAATGTGTAGGAACTGTTAGCATTAAGCATGCACAAACAATTATGATTTGAAAGTGATAAATTGAAATCCAGCAATTTGACTGACAAATTTAGTGATAAAATTTAACGATAAAAAAATGTGATAAGAAGTAATTTAAATTTGGTATATTAAGTATTTTACCAAAAAATAAAAATAAGGTATTGATTAAAGAAAAGAAAAATTCAATCAAAATTGTTAAAATTTTCTTTCAATCAATAATTTTTATAAAATTCCCATCATTATTTCAAATTAATTCTTTTTTTTAATTTTAAATTTAAAAAAAAAAGTTTCCTTCTCATTTCTTTTTTACATTGCATTATTCAAAAATTCATTACATATTTGTGTGTAAATAAATTTCATAAATATTTTAAAATAAAAAAAAACTTTTTTATAAATTGATACAAATTTTTTTTTTGAAAATTGGCACAAATTGTTTAAGTATAGAATTTTTTCTTTCTCATATACTTTAAAATTGAAAAATGAACTAATGGAATAGAATTTGAATTTATTTTTCTGAATTTAAATTTATATTTTTTATTCACTACTGTAACATACTATGAAATTAATAAATAGAAATCAAAATTGAATAAGTGCAAAGTAAAACCAAAATTATAAATCATTATCAAATCTTTATTATAGAATATAATTCCATACTTCCTTTCACGATCTCTCGATAATCTCAATCTATCGGTGATTTTAATCTTTCGATGATCTCAATCTTTTGATGATTTCGATTTTTTTGATGATCGTGATCTTTCGGTGACCTTGATCTTTCAATAATAGTATTAGTTCGATATAATGCTATTACTAAAAGGTTACAGAATAATATAAAAAAAATTTTGCAAAAATGGAATTTTTATCCAGAAATTACATAAATAATAAGCCATTTATGTCTATTAAACGGAATGAACGCTCTTTTTCCTTACGATTCAGGAAAAGCGAATTTTTTTCCGGAAAAATGAAAAATGGGCAAATTTTTTCTTATAGAAACTATAGAATAATTTATTAAAATTTTCTTAAAAATTAAGATTTTTTATCAAGAAATTAAGCAAATAAATGATTAAATTTATTGAATGGAAATGCTGCGTTTTTTTTTTTTTTGTTTTTTTACAATTCCGGAAAAAAAAATTAAATTTATAAAAAAAAAAGAAAAAAAA